AAAAAAGTTTGAGATAATCACATATGCATATTTTGTATTCGCTCTATTTCTCTAGTAAATTTTTTTCTTTTCTTCGTTTTTGATTTTTTTTTACTTTTGGCTCCTTTGTCGATCTACAGATTTTTTTTATTTCAATTTCCTAATTTTTTTATTGCTTAAACATTTTTTTTGTTTCTTTTCATCTTCCTTTCTGTTTTCTTGTACAATTTTTTTTTCTCATTTTATCTTTTTAGGTGTTTTTTGTCTCTCTCTCATTTGGCTAATTAATGATTTTCTTTAGTTTATTTTTAAACTTTTTATTTATTTTTCATTCCTTTTCAAATTTTATGTATTGCTTGCACTAATTGTTTTATGAGCAATGATAGAGTCACAAAAACCATTTGTATATTTAAATATTTACTTTTTAATTATTTAGCATCATTTTATTTACTTGGTGAGTTGCACAAATAGCAGGATTGTGTATTTTGTGATTGAAGTGTTTGTGACTCTAGCATTTCTCTTGTTTTATTATTTTCTTTTATTTTCTCTTATGTTTTTTGTACAGAGTATATTTTCCCTCGGAAGATTTTGAGGATTCCCCTTTCCTTATCACATAGAGAAGAATTAAGCTATTTGTACATAAAAAATTGTAACTTAATTTTTACTCTCAAAGCATGTACTAACATTTTTTGCTAATGTGTTGGTTTACACCGACACAAATTAAAATGTTAATGCAAATTTTTTTTATTGAACTAGCATTTTGTGTCAGTGTTTGGCTTAAAAAAATACTCCCTCCGTCCCTAAATAAACAAGAAAACCCCCTAAATAGAAGTAAAACATGTGTTATATCCTTAAAGTAGGAGTTCAAACTTAAACTCCTCTAAATAGGAGTAATTAACTATATTTATTTTACAATTGTTTGGCCGCCTGGAGAAGAAACGGAACACCACCCATCTTGACTTCTTTAGCCGAAATTAAGTGCTAACAAAGTTTGACTAATGATAACCTCATGCTGATGCCAATATATGGCTAGATATTTTACTTCTTCAATCCAAACTCTTTTTGTTTGTTTTCTTTCTTCTTTATTGGGATTCTTTTATTATTATTATTATTGGTGGGGTGATTTTTTTTTTGTTTTTTTGGCATAGAGCTAACAATGGAGAGATTGTGTTTTGTTTATTTTAATTGTCTTCTTCCCATAATTAATGACTTCGTGGACTCGATGGATGCACATGTATCACCGAGTACAATTGAACTTTTGGCATTTTTAAAGCCACGTTTGTCACTGTGCATTGACATCTTTGATATTTTGTTTTCGATTGACCTAAAATTTTATGTTTTTGCATCTTACAATGTCATCTTTGTCACTGTATGTTGTCACTTTTAGCATTGTATTTTCGACTGACACTGTATGAATTATTTTTTCTCCATGTAGCACCATGGCACTACACCTGTGGGGGTTAGTGATGCCGGCAATGTGCGACGAAAACAGGAGCAATGAGTGATGAAAGTGGCATATCTTGGCGGTGGCAAACGGTGAGTCAACAACTCCTATTTTGGGGGTTTTATGTTTTGACTCTTATAGGAGTTTAAGTTACATTTCACGTATCTACTACACAGTGTCATTGGATTTGGTTTGACATTATGTCATTGTGCAACATTGTACTCTGTAACATTATATATGCGCATATGTGGTATTATATGGGCATCTATGGTATTATATATTGTCATATGTGACATTACATGGTGTCATGTTTGATATTATTATGTCTTTCTTTGACACTGTATTTACTATTAATGTGGCACTGTGGCGACAATGGTATAGATTGTGATGGTAGTGTTGTTGATAATGGTATATAGCAATGATATCGTCAGCGGTGACGACGAAAAATTAAAGGCGTCAATGGTAGGTTTCGTTTGTAGCGGTGCGGCGGAGCAGAGAACGGAAGTGGTGGAGATTCAAGTGATAGTGGTAGGTATGTGGCGGCGACGATGGCGGCGGTGGGCATCACCTTCGACGACGATTGCAGTAGTGGGCCTCGATGTCGGTAGCATGTTGTTGTGAAATTGGCCAAATTTTACCTCTGGTATTGGCCGTAAATGCAACACATGTGGGGAGTATTTTTTTTTTGTTTTATTAATTAAGTTAAAATCTTTATTTTAACTTTTTATAAAAAATGAAAAAAATAAAAAAAATAAAAAACATGAATGCAAAAAAAAAAATAGTCGCATGCATCTTAAAATAAATCTGCAATGCTCCTTAAGTATAGTCTCGTGCATCTTAAAATAAATCTGTTGTGCTCCTTAAGTATAGGTTCATGCCTCTTAAAAAACAATGTGCGTGTGGGGAGCATTTTTTGTCTTATTAATTATGTTTTACTCCTATTTAGAGGAGTTTAAGTTTGAACTCCTATTTTAAGGATATGGTATATGTTTTACTCCTAGTTTGTTCCTTCTCCCTAAATAAACTTCCATTTTAGACTTTTTGAGGATTTAAGGGAGGAATATTTTTGTGTTGACTTTCAAAAAATACCCTTGATGTGATGTGTAAAAGTAAGATGTGATAGGTAGATTATTAGTAAAAAGGTATGATGTGATAGGTAGGGTATGAAAAAGTAAGGGGTAAAAGGGGTTTTTTAAGGGAAAAGAGAAGTTTATTTGGGGACAAAGAAAAAACGAAAGAGGAAGTTTATTTGGGGACGGAGGGAGTATACATTTTAAAGCAAATCAAATGGAATTAAAAAAATTAAGTTTAGAAAATACAAAAATGAGAATATTTAAAAAAAAACCTATGGGTCAGAAAAAGAATCAAAAACAAAAAAATGTTGAAAAATGAACAAAAGAAGAAAATTAGCGAAAGGAGAAAGATATTAAAAACAACGAAAAAGAGAAAAAAAGAAAAAAAGAAAACAAATAACAAGGAATATGAAAAAATAAAATAAAACTACATCGTGCTAAAAAAAAATCTATACCATATTATGGAGTGGCGAGCAAACCAAAAAAACATAAATCGAGAAAAGGAAACAAAAGAATCTAAAAAAATGAAAAAAAGAAAATGAAAACAAATAAAAAATAATTAAGTTTAAGAAATACTCCGTACAAAAATGATAAAAATTAAAATTAATAAAAAGTAGTGAAAAGAAAAAGCGAGAGAAAACAAAAACAACGAAAAAAGAAAGAAACCCCCAAAAACGAAAAAAAACAACAATAAACAGAAAAATGAAAATAAAGAAAAAAATGTCTACACAAACAAAAACACCGAAAAATGTGAAAAGTAAACAAGAAAACATAAAAATAGAAGAGAAAATGAAAAGAAATACGACAATTAAGTTTAGGTAATAGAAAAATGAAATATTTGAAAACCCAAAATGTTGAAAAATGAAGGAACAAAACAAAATAATCAAAAAGGTAAGAGAGAGAGAGGGAGCAAAACCAAAAACTAAAAACAAAACAAAACAATGCAAAAAGAAAGAAAGAAAAAAGCAATGTGAAAAAACGGAAAAGAAGTCAAAAATAAATAAAAGGTTGAAAAAAGGAACAAAAGAAAAAAATTAGAAAACGGTAAAAGGAAAAAGAAAAAAAACAACAAAAAAAGGAAGAAGAAGAAAAAAAGAGAAACGAAAATAAAAAAAAAAGTAGAAGATGGGAGGGGGCTGTAAATCATTTTTTCAATTTATGTTTGATTTTTTTTGTTTACATAAAACCATTCACCAAGCTGATTTTATTTCAATTTTTACCAAATTGAACCGATTCGAATAACATTCATTAATTTTATTTTGTAACCATTACGCATCACAGATAGGGGTGGACACGGTACGGTTTCGGGACGGTTCCGGTTCCGGTACCGCCACCCCTTGGTACCGGTACCGGTACCGGTACCGGACCGGCCGGTACCGGTTCCGGTTCCCGGACCGGCGGTTCCGGTACCGAACCGGCCAGTTTCGGCCACCCCCAATTTTCTTTTCTTTTTTTTTTTGCTTTTTTATTAAATTTTTAAAATGGAAAATTGTAAATGTGCAATTGTTAAAGAAAAGAATGAAATAAAAAAATCTAAAAATGAAATTGATAAAGGAAAGAATTAAATAAAAAATAAAAATAAAAAATTTAATAACGGTACCGGAACCGGAACCGCCGGTGCCGGTACCGAAAAATGGGTACCGGAACCGGTACCGGATGAGGCGGTTCCGGAACCGGTACCGGATGAGGCGGTTCCGGAACCGGTGGAACGTCCCGGCCGGCGGTGACGGTGGCGGGTACCGGCGGTACCGTTGCCGGTCACGGTACCGTACCGTTACCGTGTCCTCCCCTAATCACAGACCCAAAATGTTATGGTGCAACTAAAATCCATATTCTAACGCTCTTTATGAGAGAAAGTAGAGAAAAAATGGTGTAAATTTTAAGTAGTTCAATTCACGAATAAATCACTTATTACAGACGAATATAAGTAATGATTTTTCTACAGACACACAATGAATGTTTGTGCATATCGTCATAATGGTTACTTGATATGGCATAAAGAAAAATATAGTGGTACTATCAAAATTGTCGAAAGGGAGAATTTTTAAATATGAGCAAAAGATAATGAAAAGACTAAAATAGGAACGACATTTTTTTGTAATCTAAATAAAAGTTTACACAGTCATACTGTCGCCGTGCTAATTGTCACCCCCCACTGCCATCGGAGTGCCGCCGCGGGTAGCTAGTACGTGTTGACCACTGTTGACCATCAATCCACCACTACACGGCCCACATTCACACTTTCAAGATCCTTTACAAAGGATAAAAATAATACTCCCTCCGTCCCAAAAAGATTTACACCTTTCAAAAGAATTGTGTCCCACAATCTCCTACCCATTGCTATTAAAAAACCACTTTTACCCCTTGCTTTTTCAAACCCTACCTATCACATCATACCTTTTTCCTAATAATCTACACATCACATCCTACTTTTACCCATCACATCAAGGGTATTTTTGGAAAATCAACACAAAATTATCCCTCCCTTAATTTCTACTTTAGTCAAAATGGGTAACACTTTATGGGACGGAGGGAGTAACACTCTTGTTTTGATATTTTTAACACATTCTTTTTCTATCTACACATATTCTTTATTAGTAGCTTTCATACTCATTAGTGTAGTATGTGTTGAATTTGACTCCAAGCGATTATAGAATGCTACATACTGCTCGTAGATAGAATCTTGTTTGATCAAATCACCTGAGCCACCCCGTGCACCGGTCTCGGCTTCTACCACCGCCAAAGGCATCCAACACAATGACTTCGTCGTGGCGGAGCTCTGACAAAGCCGCCGCCGCACGCGGCAGCAGGACGTGGTTGCGGCACAACGGGCACGTCAGGCGCCCAGTGCCCAACCACCTGTCCAAACAGGCCTTATGAAACACATGCTCGCACCTCAAGTCCCTAACCTCCTCCCCGTGCTCCATCGGGCACAGACACACCGCGCATTCCACCGCGGGCCCGCCGTCAAACCGCCTCACGGCGGGCCCCACATCGTAGGTTTCGAATATGTACGGCCATTGTCGTCCCGCCAGGCCGAAGGATTGGAGGAGGAGAAAATCCCAAGCACATTTGAGCTGTGTAGCTATGAAGATGACATAGCTGATGAAAGATGAACTTGGGAGCATTTTAATGGTTTTCTTGCAAATGTAAGTGAAGATTATAGTGATTATGAAGAAGGAGAGGGCTGCTTGTGTAGTGTTTGGTTTCATTCTCTGTTATTCTTCTTCTTCTTTTCCCTTGTAAGAGTTTTTTCTTTAATTTAGGTTTGGGGTTTCATGTATATATATATAACACTCCCTCCGTCCCATAAAAGATTGGGTAATTTACCTAAATAGGACTAAAACATAATGACGTTCTCAATATAGGACTATATGTTTTTTTCCAATGTAGGACCATTGGTCATTATCTATTAGTCATTATTCAACTAAATGTCTAACATCACTTAGACATTATTTTTCTCAATAGTCATTATTAAGTCTTATTTAGGAAATAAAAAAGTTTAAGTCCTACATTGAAAAATGACTTATGTTTTAATCCTATTCACTGCAAATTAAATTTCACTAAAGGATTACCCCGAGGACCGGCTAAGGAAATTTGATGTCCAGAACATGACAGAAAATATTAATAAGTCTTCGCTCTCACGAATTGAATTATATAAACCTCTTTTATTGAATAATTAATATTCTAGTAATGCATATGATAAAATTATAGTATTATAACTAAGTATAATGATAGTTACCTAAAAAATATTGAAATAGTTACTTTAAAATTTTATTTTTTATAAAAAACATACTCGAATATAATACGAAGTATATACATATTAAAAAATTAAGAATGTTGGACAATCGAAAAAATAGGTCTGAGGCAGGTATGACACCTTGGCTCATCCTTAAACAGTACGTGAAATTTATTTTTAACTCCGTACATGTTAGAAAAGAAAAAAATAAATTTAGTTTTAATAGTGATGCATTATATATATTCTCTCGGTCCCATAAAACATTTTTATACTATCTATCACATCTAGACATGGCAAAAAATGACCAGACCTGTTTTTGACCCAAAATCCGACATGAAAACACTGGGTTTTGAACAAAGGCTTTGTTGACCGAACCTGAAGTTGACCAAACCCAAAATGACCCGCTAAAAATGGGCCAAACCCGACCGAACCCGACCCGCTAAAGTAAGAATTTTTCAAAAAGCGTGTACTTTACTACTCGTTTTTAGTGTATAAATTTATATTTTCAGACAAAATTTTAATGATATTGCATAATTATCTTTCTTTTTTCCAAAACTTAAGCATTTTTTAAATTCCTTATGTTGATTTATATATCTAAAAATTACTTCATAGTTTAAAATAATCTAATAGATTTAATACATTTTTTTTGATATTTTAAATTTATTTAATAGAAAATGTAAGTGTTAATGTGAATTTAAAAGTTTACAAAACCAAAATCATAACCCGTTGGGTTGACCCGAACCCGATGACACTGGGTCATGAACATACAGTTTTCAACCCGAACCCGAATTGATCCGAACCCAAAATAACCCGAACTTGAAGTGACCGAACCCGAACTGACCGATCGATTTGCCAACTCTAATCACATCTACTCATTATTTGGTAATAATCTAGTCATCACTTTCTACTTTTACTCGTTATATCAAGAATATTTTTAAAAAATCAACATAAAAATATTTCTCTCTTAAACTCTTTATAGGTCAAAAGTAGAAAGTTTTAAGAAACAGATGAATTATAACAAGGGTAAAGATAAATAATTTTTTTTCTTTTTGGGTAACTTTTAACAACTATTCCCCCGTCCTTAAAACTTTTTTCACTTTTGATTTTTTTAATCAAACAGTGACACTCATTGATTACAAATTAAACATAATTTAAATGAATAAACGATATAAAATTTGATATATCAAAACTATATCTTAAAATGAACCCAATTATACTAAATTTATATTATAATTAAATATATTTTATCACAATTTATGATCAAATGATATTACACTTTAACCAAGAAAAAGTTACTCCGTAAAAGAGAAAATATTTTTAAGACTTGAGAGAGTACGTAATCCTTTAAAGAGATGCATTATACGGAGTATTTCATACTCCCTCTGTCCCATAAAGTGTTACCCATTTTGACTAAAGTTGAAATTAAGGGATGGATAATTTTGTGTTGATTTTCCAAAAATACCCTTGATGTGATGGGTAAAAGTAAGATGTGATGTGTAGATTATTAGGAAAAAGGTATGATGTGATAGGTAGGGTTTGAAAAAGTAAGGGCTAAAAGTGGTTTTTTAATAGAAATGGGTAAGAGATTGTGGGACGCAATTTTTTTGAAACGTATAAATCCTTTTGGGACGGAGGGAGTATAATCGTATGAAAATTCTACCTACCCTTGATTGGGGAGTGTATAAACGATTGAAGACATATAGTCCGCATAAAACGGATTTCCACGGAAACAAATGCTCCCTTTTCCCACGCATTTCCACGGAAACTTCCACATTTTCTTTTTTAAATTCATTTATTTAAAGAATGGTATGAAAAATAAAAATAAAGTTTACATAATTAAAATTATGCCAAAATTTTTCAAAATAAAAAATGTCAATATTTTTTATTTTATCAAATAATCGATAAAAAATATAAATAAGTAAAAAAACTCATGATATTTGAGTAATGATTCGTGTTATTCTTTTTTTGTACTAAGGGAGTAGTATTTTAGACCGAGCAAAATCTCTTTCCCATTTTATGTCTTATACTTCTTCCATCTCATATCTCTAATTTCTGTTTTGATTTTTGTAATCAATATTTTAAAAAATTTGACTACAAATAATGAAAAGAATATATTAAGCTGTGATATAAATTTAATATAAATAGATTTATTTTGAAATATTTTGAAGCATCATACTTTTATATTCTATTTTCATATAATAGTAGAGATAATAGTTAAAATATTGTATTAGAGATCGTAAAACTCAAACAAGAAGAAAGATATATCACGGAGGGATTAAAAATTAAAGGAAATTTTTTTTTATTTTGATTTTCTTTTTTAAATTATTATTGATATAACAGATCAAAGATTTAACTTTTAGAGGGAATTGGACACTTTCCGGTCGTCCCTCAAGTCGTCTTATGATAGTTCGTTCATCATCTTCCTTTGGCCCACACAGAAATTAATGATGGCTTTTACACCTTCCTTCCAATTTACGAATTACCTCAGTAAATAATTTGTTTCAACTTATGATATTTGTCAAAAATTGTTTTCAACTTAATATATTTAAAATTTGGTATTAAACTAAAACATAAAAATTATATATTTCTTCTGTTTTTCATATATCTTTCAAATTTAATTAACTTTGTTTACTTGTTTTTACAGTCTTACTACATACTTATTTTAAAAAACATAGTCTTGTGTCTTGTCACTTCTTGATCTGTAAAACATTTTATGTGATTTTTTATTATGTAAATTTTATATTTTTTAAATTTTATTTACACTTGCAATGATGAGCAGACCCAAGTGGGAGCAAGTGACTGCAATTATAGTCACTGCCAACTTAATTTTTTTATATACAAAATGCCTTTGAGACCTATTTTTTATACAAAATGCCTTTGACACAAACATCTTATATTCTTATCTACTTTGCACACAATAGTGTTAGATCCTGATTCCGCCACTTCCTAAAATTGAATACATCGAATTGAAAATAAAATCAATCAAACCTTGTAATGCGTAATCAAAAGATCCATGTGGGATGAAGGATATATTACTTTATACTACGGTATAAAACACCATTAAAAATTCTACCAATCAAGAGGTAAAATAGTTATATTATTTTATCAAATGATTAACAAAATAGATAAAAACATGATTAAACCTTGATTATGTTCAATTACACGGTAAATTTCAACAACGGTATCTGAGCTTTCACAAAAATTTTGGTTTATTACCAAAAATTCAAAACTTTTTACTCCCTCCGTCCTAAAACTTTCTTCCCACTTCTCCTTTTTCTCCGTCCTAAAACTACCTTCCCATTAGAAAAAAAGATGACAAATGACATTAATACCCTCATGTATTTACACCAATTATCTTCTAACTCTATATTTTGAATGATTGCAAAAAAAATTCAAAGAATCTTTTTTAAGGAAAGTAAAATTTGAATTCAAAGCCAAAAATTAAAAATGGAGAAAAGTCAAACTGGGAAGAAAGAATTAGGACGGAGGGAGTAAACTTAAACGATCTTTTCACTAATAATCATTTTGTTCGTTACTAGGTGACCACCACTTTCAACATTATTGGTCCTCATTTCTTTTTTTCTTCTCCTTAGACTCCCCTCATTTTAATTCTTTTGAATATTCTTATTTGGTATTTTTTCTTTATAAGAGAGAAAAAAATCTATGAAAAAAAGAAAAAGAGAAAAACAACAATAAAGAAAATGACCATAAAAAAGAAAAAAAATTGTACACTGTATCATGCAATGAGCGAGCAAAATGAAAAAATCAAAAGAAATGAGAATAGAAAAAAAAATTGAAAATCATACAGAAAATATGAAACAATGAAAAGAAGTAAAAACAATTAAGTTTAAGCAGTAAGAAACTGGAAAATTGAAATAAAGAAATTAGCAGTTCAAAAATTATCAATTGAAAATCATCAATTGTGAACACACTAAAAAAATAACTTCTGCTCAAGTTTCACCAGCCATAATGATGAAGGAAAATAAGAAAACAGGATGCTACATGGGCCCATTAAATAAAAAACCAGTACCCAAAAAATTCAAATATGCAACAAATTCCATTCAAAATCTAGACAAACTGAGGCTTCATTTGTCATCAAGTTAAAGATTAACATTAGCGTTTTAAAAGACTATCTGATGATAGTCTTTAGCGTTAGCATATTCAAAAATGCCATTAAAATTTTATCCAAAATGTTAAGGCCCCGTTTGGTACACGGAATTTAAACTATGGAATTAGAATTGAGATCTTTAATTCCAATTCTGGTGTTTGGTAGCACAAAATTTATGTGGATTTGGAATTGATAGTTCAAAAAATGAATTAGTATTGGTGAATTCAATTTTATGGAATTGAATCCCATGGAATTTCAATTTCAATTCAATTCGAATTTTATCAATTTTATATACCAAACAGACCCTAAAACTAATCGAAAACGTTATTTCCAGACAAGAGTTAAATGGTAACGCAAATTGTAAAAATAATTGAGAGGGAAGCCCGCAGATAGAATATGTTGTGGGGCTGTGCGACTGGGGTAGGTGTCCTACCAGGCTTTTTAAGCTATTTGGATTGGGTTGGGCTTGACTGGG